CACGGTTTTCAGCCCAGAAAATGTAAAGACATCTTTGGTTGGACTGGAGGACAGAAAGTTAGGTAAATATCATGTTAAACCATACTTAAACAGGTTATGCTTTCATACCGTTTTTAAAAATGACATGCAAGAAGCTTTACAATATTAGAGAGACTTAAAAAATGTATTTAAAATACAAAATATATTTTCTGTTACGTTGTCTAGGTACAGTATACCCCCTATAAAAATATAAACTTTGTCAGAGTGAAATGTTTTAGACTCTTTGAGTTACTGGACAACATGAATGTCCTCAGAAAGGTGGATGTCAATAAACATTTTAAAATAAAAAAAACTGCCCAAAATATTGTTTCTGTAATCTGATTTTAGTCTTTTTCTTTAAAGCTTTGCCCATGAAGCAGAACATGGAAACGTCCTGGGCTCCCGGTCCACTATCACTGCTCAGTTTATCTGGATGTGGGCCTTTAGCCCCACCTGCTGACTGCTTTTCCTCCTCATTAAACCAGCGGAGGGGAACAGGTGAGACTCCTCAGCAGCCTCAGACCCTGAGGGCTTCACTGTGGATGCCTCTGAGTCTTATAAGGACGTTTTTTTTTTTTTTAAAACAAGAATTAGACAGGGCTGGAAAGTGTTCTTTTTTGGAACAGAGCTTAAACTCTGTCTTCAATTGTGGTGTTTGAGTGCTGAACAGCACATTTATGCAGACTGGCTGTGCTGGAGTTTAATGAAAGTCTTTCCCCTGCTGGGAAAACAGGAGACTACAGCTTTAGTCTGACAGGTTAATCAAACGACTGGGGTTTAACAAAGTAGGGAAAAGTGGAGAGATGCAACACAAAAACCTTAAAACTAATTAAACAGAAATAAAAAAAACATTTAAGATGCATTTGTCTCTCTAAAACATTTATTCTGTGGCACCTGGAAGTCGTGTAACGTCATTTAGAGATAATAATCAGAAGGGCTTCTTAAACAAAGGGGAACTAATAACACCATGTTTGTGTTTTACAGCCTGATATCTGCCTTCAGGAACAGGAAGGAGGGATTTTACTGAATGTGGCAAATTTTAAACTTTCTTTTTTTTCCTTATTTTGTGTGCATTGCAGTTCAGAGGCTGGATCTGACAGTGTTATGTCTGTTGAGACGTGTTTGTAACATGAGCTCCTCCGGTTAGACGGGTCCTACCTGTTCTGGCTCCATCACAGGTGAATTCACTGGTTATAGGAAACATTTGAAGTCGGGTCACAAGAGGAGACACGTCAGCTCTGTGACAAAAAACCGTAAGTTTCAACTTTCCCGTCTGTTTCTGCAGTTATTTTGGTGAACATGTTCATATATGTTTATGTAGGGGTCGTGGCACTGGGCCTTTTTTCCCTCTTCCAGCAACCGCTTTCCCAATGTATTCTTTTTGTTCTGAAGAAAAATTGGTGCGGCCTCCTGTGTGGCTGCCCTCAGTCTTCCCGAACTGTTGTCTATGTGTTTTGTTTGTTTGATCTTGGTACGGGCTGTACTGGAAGTCAATTTCTCCCTGGAGATCAATAAAGTATATTCAATCAATCAATATATGTATACTATTTATATATGTTTATATTTCTATATTTTATATTTGATCCTGTTTCCTGGGTTTTCTTTTAGTTCACTTTTTCCATGTTGTTTATACGTTTTAGTGTTTTGTTCAAAGGGCTCAAACACTGTGCTCGAACGTCTGACTTTATTTTCTGCTAAAAACCTTCTAAAAGCTCACACAAAATCACTCTGAAACTTTTTGGAGTGGTGACCGTCTGCTGCTGAGATGCTTTCACTTTCAGTGTGATGTAACCATCATGCCGTTTGCCTCCATCTGCTGGACTGAGAGCAGAACAGCAGCTGATCAGAACTAGAGAATCAGACAATCCTGTTTCCTCTGCAGGTGGAGGCTCAAAGGGTCTGAGCTGCTGTTTC